CGGGTCGCCAACTTCGTCGCTGTCCGTCTCGATTCGAACTTCCGGTGAGGCAAGATTCAGCGCTCCTGCATCCATTCGCTTCTGACGGAGAATTTTCGACAGACGGAGTAGGGTGCGCATGCTCTGAGTCAGCTCATCATTTTGCGAAGGGTCGTCGATGCGCATTTGTGCCTGTTCGTAGCTGAAGGCCTCTCGCGAGCGAATAACGGACTTGGTGAATTCAGCAGACACGACTTCAGCGTTCGGAGTCATCTCCCAGAGGACTGAAAAGGCGTAGCGCTCAACATACGGCTTGAGAGAGCAGAGATCCGTGCCGAGAAGATGCGGAAGCATGTCAATACGCTTGTCGACCAGGTAGACTGTCGTTCCACGGACGCTAGCCTCCAGATCCATGGCATTGTTCGGTTTAACGAAATGTGACACGTCTGCAATATGGACGCCAACTTCAAAATTACCGTTAGGCAAGGCCCGCGCGTGCAGGGCGTCATCGATATCTTGACATCCAGGAGGATCAATACTGCAGACCAGAATATCCCGCAGATCTCTTCGCCCTTTCCAACCCACATGTTCCTTGTCGGCAGGAACTCTCCAGTCGTGACCTTCTGGCGGAAGGCAATCCAGAACGGCTTTTGGGAACGGTTTGTACTGCACGTCATACTCAAGAAGTAGCGCTTCCGTCTCTGCTCCTTTGGTCTCTAGTTCTCCTAGAGAGCGAATGAAATGTCCAGTAGGATACCGAGAATCGCGATCCCAGGCGTCAATCGTGACCAAAATCCGCTGGCCCAACAGGTCGCTAGCCTGCCGAGTGCGGACCCGGATCTTTGGAATGCGTTTATCCATGGGCAAGACGAAAACGTTCTGTTGCCGCCGTCCAGAGCTGGCTGACGCACCTGTCGAACCTTGATCAACATGTCCGACGTACTGGCGCCAGTTCCGCTTGATGACACCCACAACCTTAGCTGTGGGTTGCGGCCTTCCTTCAGAGTGCTTGCCATGCGCCTTCTTCACCTCTTCCTGCAGAGCCTTCCGCTCCTTTTCTGTCACTACCTCTTCATTATCTTCCGCCTCGGGATTGTCGTTCCGCGTGACTGCTTCTTCGTCAACGAGCTTCGTCGATGGTGACTTCCACTGATCCTTCGGTAAGACCTCAATAACAACGACGTCGCCTGCAATAGCACGATTGCTATTATCACGACCCAGGATGAGGAGTGGCTTATCAAAAGCTGCGACATTCACAGACCCTTCCAAGTAGTTGTACGGCGAGACACTGAAGACGCCCTGATGCAGAGTGCCAGCCCTCAGTCCAGTCATAATTTTCGACATCGAGTAATACTCTGGATAAAAAAGCTCGCCGCGAGCACCCTTTGCGTCCCTTGCTTCCCTCGCCTCGCTGATCATGTCGAGTAGCCGGTCGGCGTCCTCCAAGCCAGAGACGTAGTCTGACAGCGACAGCGCTGTCACACCTTCTTCCTTTGCTTTGCGGAGATTTTCCTTATCGTCCGTAATGACGACAATTGCTGGTACCGACTTCTCCTTCTTGCCCCTCTTCAGCGTGCTGCGAAGGTGCTCAGAGTACCATTTTGCCACTGCCCGTACTGCTCGGTCATTTCTGTCATTGATGGACTCATTCTGACCTCTTCTCACGTGCGTTTCCAATCTGAACTCATTGAAGAATAGGTAAAACCGTTTCTCGTCTGTCTTAATTAAAGAAAGCAAGCGGTTGTAGAGCGGCAGCGACTGGTTCTTGAGTTCCTCGAGGACCGTCTGAAGAATGATAACGTCGTAGAAAGCTCCCGTATGTTCAAAGAGATCCATACCATTCAGCAGCGCGTTTGTATCAGGGACGAGGTAGTGACCGCGAGGGAAAGCGCTCGTGCCAGCGGGTTGATCGGAGAGGACGAAAGGCGCAACTATCCCACATTAGTGATAAGCCTCAGCATACTCCAGGAACTCCAACTTACTGTTGCCATTCGCATCTGCTGGCGCGATTGTAGGACATAGCGAACATAACTTGGACGAGCAAGGAATATCCTGTCTCAGATAAAGCTCACGTACGATCTTCTGCACCTTTCCACTTTTCGTGGACCTGACGAAGACTTTGCTGGTGACATTGGCGGCCTGCGGATCAGAGGAGAATTCCCTCCGAAGGCTCTTCATATTTCGTTAAAAGTGATCTAGTTCCTGCCAGATCTGGTTTTGCACAAACACTGTGTATTTCCAGCCGCAGCGCAGTGAATAACGTTTGTGCATGATCTGCTCCGGCGTTGAATCTCAGTCGGCGGAAGCTTGGCGGTTTTAGGTAAGCCCCTCTCATATCGCTATCATACCGTTATCGGTACTCTATCAGCAGTCACCATCCTACAACCCATTATTCGATGTTCCTGAATTGTACATAGACACTTTTCTATCTGAACGGACTCATTGACTAGCCTCTAATAACAATGGCCATTGCAGTAAGAGCCGAGAACACCCCAATCTCAGCCCAAATCCACCTTACTAATCAGAACCATAACAGGCAGTCGGGCAACTATGCTCGACAGCGAGTATGACTTCGAATTTGGCTCAGTGTCAGATACTGGTGCGCAAAGCTGTGGCATCTGGTGCTAAAGTATAGTACACTTTACCTCTTCTGTCATTGACGCTTAGGCGCTCTTGAGACTTTGATCGCCTAATGCTGAACAGGCATTATTCCTACCAGAGGCATCAGACTGGATTGCCTCTTCGCCAGCAGAAAGCATATCACTTGTGCGATCCGTGCAGGACAGTGTTTTTGTGCAGGGACTGCAGCGTGAAGCCAGGCAGGCAAACCTGCATATCAACGTTGGCATCCATGAACTGGCGCCCAACGGCAAAGTCAAGAATACTCTGATCTGGATTGATGATAATGGTATGATTACTCAACGCTACCAAAAGATACATCTGTTTGATGTAGACATCAAAGATGGGCCGGTCCTCAAGGAGAGCGCGTAAGTTGATCCTAAGTAGAAAGCATGCATGCACGACTCACCTTTGCGGTGTAAGGAGCGTTGAAAAGGGCATGGAAATTCTGCCGCCGTTCGACACCCCTCTAGGACGTGTCGGTCTCTCCATCTGCTTCGACGTGAGTCTAGTGTCCAAGTTTCAAACTCTGATGGAGAAGAGCTCATAATCTTACTTGCTACTTTACAGCTGCGCTTCCCTGAAATCAGTCTAGCCCTGAAGCGTCAGAATGCGCAGATCATCACATATCCATCGGCTTTCACGGTTCCAACGGGACAGGCGCATTGGGAAGCGTTGCTCCGAGCAAGAGCTATCGAGACACAGGCGTATGTAGTTGCTGCAGCTCAAGCTGGTCCGCACAATGAAAAGCGAAGAAGCTATGGCCATTCGATGATCGTTAATCCATGGGGAGAGATCGTGGCGAAACTCGGAGACGAATATCGAGAGCCAGGAATCGCTACCGCGGAGATTGACCTCAATCTCTTGGAGAAGGTTAGGAGGGAGATGCCCTTATTAAGGAGAACTGACATATATCCAGAGGTATAATACCTGATTTGATTGCTAAGACATTCAACCCAAGCCTAGTAGATCTTGATCATGTTATAGGCTACTTCATATAATACCTGCTACGTAATGCTCGTCTCAGGCGCCTTTCAAGGCAATCAACAAACATTGTCTATCAGGCTCAACGTCTTCCCCCTTGAAAAGATTCCTTGAATGACTTCATTTGAGACTTTCAGAAATACAATGACGACAAAATCCCTCTGCGTGGAACAAGAGTTGAAGGAACGAACAAAGACTTTGAAAAAGCAAGTCGTCTAGGTTGGGCTCATACGCCATATGTATCACAGACCAGGCTTGTGGTAAGGCGCTTTTCATAGCCGATCACTCTATGTACAGTGTACAAGGAAAATCGGGAATAATGCGATCACTTGTGCTGAACCTTGTCAGGGTCCTCCAGGATGCCCTCGGCCTCCAGCCTTCGTCGGGCCTCCTCCAAAGCCCACGTTTGTATCCTAGAAGACAATCAGTACCTATGCTCTCATATAATACAAGTAGATATGGTACAGCCGCTCATAAGAAAAAGGCTTCCCATGAATGGCTGGACGTGGGGATGAAACGTACGAGGTATCAGGCTTGAAAATGTATGCAACACCAGCAGCGAGCAAACTGCCAATAAATCCGTAGTACCAAATGTTCTCCCATCCTTCCTTCACGTATTTCTGACCTGGCTTGACGCCGAAGAGCCATCCGGTTGGAGGGTCATAGTGATTACCGTGGTCAGCGGCGTGGAGAGTGTTCCGGGTCGAGAAGCCCCTAGTGTTCTGAGGTCCGCGGAGAAGGCAACGAGCACGGAGGGCTTGCGACAAAGGGCGAGCAGACATTGTGATTATTGTGAAGGACTCTGGCAGTGTTCCTTTGAAGAGCCGGTTGATACTCGGAGGGCGACGCTAGGTAGAGGACCCCTGCCAAATATGCTAAAGAGGTACTTCGGGGGTCTGTAAGAACGATATAGACTGGCGACAGCCGCCCTGGGTTCAATTGGACAATAGATCGATTCGCAGCTGTTGATGAGGCTGCGATATGTGGAGGGGCGCTTGGTGTCCAGTGGTTGATGTTCGTGAAGCCGCAAAAGGCCGATGGAGGCGGGAGCTTGGAGTCACCACCCTAGTCCCTATTGAGGTAATCTAGACGCCGCCTTTCTGCCTGGTATTACAGGCACCAGTATACACCTCAGGCAGGAGCCATCAACGCGCGACGCGTCTCGATTACCCCAATTCCTCAAGGCAATCATTGTACTACATCAAGACAATCGTCAGCCATGCTCTGGATGGATGTTATACTTGGACTTCTGCTTTGATCAGGAAACAACACTCCTCTCTCCAACGTCCTACCTCGATGGTAGATACCACATTCTACTCATTGCTACAGCTCGTGTCAATCTGTATAGCTCTTGAAGTTCCAGGCAGACATGAACCGATGTGCTACAGAAGGCTGAAATCACCAACAATTCTTGAGCCATGGCTGGAAACTCGAACTCCTACCCGATATCCTCGAATTCACGTTCCAAGTTGAATGCCTTCCGGTTCAACAATCAACATACGAACAATGGAGGAAAGTCGCCCGCGAAGTCGCCATTAAGGGCAGGTCACGAAGACAAAGAAAACCAATCTTCATGGTTGAACGGAGTGGTCAAACCACTACAATCAGAACCAGGAAAAGAAGAGCCTTCTGGCGAAGCGAACGAGCCGAAACTAGCCAAAGAGTGTCCTCAGACGCCAGGGAACAGGATACCCCTGGCAGACCTGATTAGCAATGCAGAAGATGCATTCAACCGAGCACCGGGACAAGAATACACGCCAGAAGATCATGTTATCTGGCAGCATGTACCTGCGAGCTCGAACCCGGACACACTCTCTCAACCTTCCGCAACGAGAAAGAGACGGCGTCACAGCTCATCCCCGACCAGCTCTCCACTAGGTAGAAGCAAGGGTGAACGGAAACGGTCCTTTGATATGCAATCCTTCCAAGCGCTCCTCAAAACACCTCAGAGCGATCTCGCAACAGACCTGTGGAACAATTACCTGGGCAAGGCTTCGATCAATCCAGAGGAAAGCTTTCCTCCTCCTCGCCTAGCTAATCTTCTCTCGTCTTCACCCCAGACTCCTGCCACGGCCGGCACCAGTAGGGATTCGTCTGGTTTGAGGAGGTCAGTTAGTTGCAATGCGGAATGGCCCACATCTAAAGCAAAACGGAGAAGATTGAATGGACAAGAGTTTGGTAGTGGGCGCAACATTTTCTCTCGATCTAAGAGTAATGTACTAGAGTCTGCAAATACGAAATCTTCCAGACTCAACTTCCTGTTGGAAAAGATTGAGAGAAGCTTGCAGAAGCCCTCTGTCGCTCCAGCAGAAATGTCGGATTCTTCGCCCGTGCCGAAACGCAAGCAAGTGCGATGGAGCCGATCGAATTCTCCTATCGAGAGAAAGGCCGCCGCGCAAATTCCAGAGCAAGGCATTGAGTATGACGACGGGGTTGCTCACCCACTTGTACAACCAAACGAAGCCGAAGGCGTAGGAGCCTCTTCATCTGATTTCGGTGATGATGACTTGGATGAGGACTTTCTCACCTTGGCCGAAGCGTCTGAGGATCCATTCCTTGAACCAACCCGGCCCAACAACTATACGAATCCAATGAACGTCGAAGCCCCTGACGAATCTACTATGGAGCAGCCTCGACGTCAACTTAGTACTTTGGGGGACTCGAACCATAGCGCAGGAGCTCCTGATTTGGGCAACCGGAAGCTCAGTGTCGACAAAGCTGTGAACAGTGACGAATTCGACGATGACTTCGACGATATAGAGGACCTTCTTGCCGAATGCGATGAGACGGTAGGCTTGACTCCTCCAGGACCGACAGCGTCAGCGAAGCTGTTGGCTAATGAACAACCTTGTATAAAACAGAATACGAAACGACCATCTGAAACAGAAGGATTTAACGGCACTTCCAAGAGGAGTTTGGAAACATCCTCTGGTGACGAGTTTGATGATGACGACTTTGACGTGGAAGCTATCGAGCAGTCTATGGAGCCAGGTAGAAATGGACCAGTCAACGTTTGTCGCTCTTAGTTGGTACTTTCCATAGGATTTTGCTAAATACATAAGAGCTAGAACTCTACAGACCGACAAGCTATCAAACGATATTTGATTGTTGATATTGCAGAGAATACGTATATCACTCAAAAAGGTCGCACTCAGCCAGAGCAGGTTTGTCGTGCCGAACTCATCAGATATGCCGTTGCTGGCTAACAAATCGGACAGGTGCTGTTGGTTCAGGATGAAAGAACTAAAAACAAAAAGGCAGTAATCTTGCGAGAGTCTTGGTTCGACAGCCCATGCAGTAAGGGTGCATATATTCACCTGACCGGCGATTTCGATGCAGCAGGGCAATGCATTGTCGATGATGCCCATAATATGATTATACTTCATCCAGATCACCTAGTATCTGCGACCGTTGTTGCAGACTCGATCGGTTGCCAACGAAGAGCAGTTCTCCAGGACCGTATCAAGAATTCAAGCGACATTAGCAAGCCTCAAGTGTTCGGAAATATCTTTCATGAGCTCTTTCAGGAAGCTATGAAAATCAACAAATGGGATCTGAGCTCTTTGAGGGCTTTAGTGGAAGCTATTCTTGTCAGACACGTTGAAGACTTATACTTGATCCAAATGAGCATTCCGGAAGCCGTCGAGTACATGATGAGCAGAGTCCCAGCTCTGAAAGCCTGGGCAGAGGTCTTCCTTCGGCCCACTCCGAGTGTAAGTGCATCCCGCAGGAGTTGGGATACTTTGGTGATTAATCGCTCTTCCAGGCCGAATCCGTTGTTGAAGACCGGCATAGCTCCAAGATCAATCTGAGCATCAATAAGCTGCTTGAGGTGGAGGAACACATATGGTCTCCGATGTATGGACTCAAAGGCAATATTGATGCTACAGTCCAAGTTGCATGCAATGATGGGGAGGGCAACAGAAATCTTGTTGTCCCTCTGGAGCTCAAGACGGGCAACAGAGATACAAATCAGGCACACAGGGCTCAGACTGCCCTTTATACCTTGTTGCTTTCTGATCGCTACGGTAAGCTTTCCAGCCGCAATTATGCTCCGGACTTTGTCTCACTGATTGTACGTTTTCAAGACGTTGACGTAACCTTCGGTCTGCTTTACTATCTTGAGATATCGAAGATATTCCGCATCCGTGGTGTCAGACATGAGCTCTTGCAAATGATCCAGGAACGTAACCGGCTGGCGGGTTTTGTCCGTGAAAGACACCGACTTCCACCGATGGTGAAGAAACCGGGCATGTGCAACAGATGTTACTCAAAGACGCCTTGCTTGATCTATCATAAGCTTGCGGACGACGGAGATGGCGAAACTAGCGGACTTGGCGATGAATTCGTCAAGGCTATGGACTATTTGACGCCCCAGCATCGAGACTTTTTTAAGAAATGGGACGATTTGCTGACGAAGGAGGAACAGAGCATGATGCGATTCAAGCGAGAACTCTGGACTTTGTTGAGCAGTGAGCGAGAGGCTCTCGGGCGTTGCTTCGGGAATGTCGTGATTCAACCAGGGTCCGCATACGAGGACAAAGAGAGCACAAAGATTAATCGCTTCAGATATACCTTTGTCAAGAAGCATCCTTTGCCTTCGTTCTCTTTCACTGAATCGCAACTGACAGTGGGAGAGCCGATTGTTGTATCTGATGAGAAAGGTCACTTTGCGCTCGCCAACGGATACGTTGTGCAAGTCAGCCCAAAGCACATAATGGTCGCAGTCGATCGGAGATTGCACAATACAAGAACAAAGACAAAGGGATTTGATGCTAACAAGAACCAATCATTCCGAGGCATCACGGAAGTGCTGGAAGATAGCTCCTTCCCTTCAACTACTTCTAACGAGCCGGAGGAGGAGATTCTTTACCGACTGGATAAGGACGAATTCAGCAACGGCATGGCGATTGTTCGAAACAATCTCATTTGCATGATGGAAAAGGACCTATTTCAAGCGAATCGGCTCAGAAAACTCATTGTTGAGGGAGAAACACCCATTTTCAAGCCGTCACCATCAGCTTTTCCGTTGTCTGACTCCGCCAAAGCAAGCCTAAATGTCGATCAGAAAAGAGCCATAGACAAGGTCATGAGTGCGCGAGATTATGCGCTAGTTCTTGGTATGCCCGGCACAGGAAAGACGACAACCATTGCCCATATCATTCGAGCATTGGTGGCGCAAGGAAAGAGTGTTCTCCTGACCTCGTACACGCACACCGCAGTCGATAATATCCTACTAAAGATCCGAGACGACAATTTCCGCATTCTGCGGATAGGAGCTACTGCAAAGGTGCATCCTGAAGTACAGCAATTTGTCGATCTTGCGGCGGTCCCTAAGTCCACCGTCGAAGAGCTGAAAGCATCCTATGAAGAGTCACAAGTAGTCGCGACGACTTGTCTTGGGGTCAACCACAATATCTTCAATAGACGCATATTCGACTATTGCATTGTTGACGAGGCCTCGCAAATCACTCTTCCGGTATGCTTAGGGCCGATCCGAATGGCGCGCACATTCATTCTCGTTGGGGACCATTACCAATTGCCACCTTTGGTGCAGAACAAGGAAGCCCAAGAGGGAGGACTCGATGTCAGTCTGTTCAAGCTCCTTTCCGACGCACATCCTGAGTCGGTGGTCAATCTTGAGCACCAATATCGCATGTGCGAGGATATTATGGTCCTTTCCAACAATCTTATCTACTCGGGACGTCTGAAATGTGGAACTCCTGCGGTTGCATCGCGCTCCTTGGATCTGCCCAACATTGGCGGTCTCAAGCTGCATCACATCAATCAACTACCGCAGTCACCAAATCAACGGCAATTTTGTTTGGGGGCGAACCAGGGCCGCTGCTGGCTACGGGACGTGCTTGATCCGTCTGCAAAGAACCGTTTTATCAACACAGACACGCTTGGGATCCCAGCCCGAGATGTGGCAAACGGCGCTAGGATTGTAAATCCAACTGAGTCTTCTATTTGCGCACAGCTCGTAGAGTCATTGGTTTCGTGCGGCATCCCAGCACGTAACATTGGCGTTATCACATTCTACCGCAGCCAGCTCTCCCTGTTGAAGCAGAATCTTCGTCGATACCTACCGGAGCTTGAAATGCATACAGCAGACAAATTCCAAGGCCGAGATAAGGAAGTCGTGTTACTAAGCTGCGTTCGGAGCAACACCGACAATAACGTTGGCGATCTTCTCCGAGACTGGAGACGGATCAACGTCGCCTTTACGCGTGCGCGGACAAAGTTGCTCGTTATTGGAAGCAAGAGCACTCTGCGAGACGGTAATGACCTGCTTCGCAAATACATAAGCATGGTGGAAGAACGAAGATGGGTATATGATTTGCCCAAAGGTGTTTTGGAAACCCACATCTTCAACTGCGACGTGAGCTTTACTCCATCACTCGATGGAGATAAATCACCAGCCAAGGGGAGCAGAAGTCTCGCAAAGACTTCTCCTTCGCCAAAAGCATCTCGCAATCCTCTCAGCCCAATACAGGGCCAACCAACGCATCGAGGTCTCAAGAAACCCGCTAAGAAAGGGGCCAAACTTCTAAGCGGGAATAAGGTCATTGGGAATAGACCTGTGTTACAGGACGTGGTAAATGAACTCTTTGGTTAATGACTCGCGGAGTTGGTGCGCCTATGGATAACTTTTTCTCGTTTTTGCTTCATCGCTCTTGAGTTTTGTATAACTGTTTTACCTTGGTTGACTGTCTTCTTTCACTGGGTTGGGGCGATAACAGGATCTGATGGAGGTTTCTGATTCTTGCAGGTTTTCATTTGGGTGATACCACAGCCTTGACTTAAATGATAGCATAGATCGAACGATAATGGATAGAAACTGTCCTTAAGGCTGGCGCATTCGTTACGAAGGGTTGAGAACCTTCTCTGTTTAATTGATAGTCATTGTAGCATTATAAGACTGAGGCTCCCACATACTCCCAGCAAATACAAGACCGACTGGTCTTGGTAGGCGCGTCCGCTCCACTTTCTTGAATGTCTTGAGTACTGTCAGTCCGCTCGGATCGCGGCAACAACATGATAGTATATCCATCCTTCGCTTCCACTGCTTCCCTTCCCAGTGCAGTCGAAGACAGTGCAAACCATGTGAACGCCGGCGAGGATTTTGACGCGGTCTCACGCCTAGTAGGCAACCGAGTCAGCAGAGCCGTTGCGGTTCTGGTGAACATGGCAGAAGAGGACTTACAGCATAGTGATGAACAGATCTAAGATCCAGCTGGCGGGGACGAACCCGTGCCATGTCAAGGAGACTAGATCGACGGATCTGACAGGTCCGTCATCTGGGACGCTGTAGCGGCTTAGGTATGGATCGATGTCGTCGTCTTTTGATACCCGCGGAGACCCCAGGGCTACCATTGCCAGCCATTCAGAGAGATTCTGTGAATCCTCTTTCAAGATATTTTCTGAGGATGCTTCTGTGAAGGTAGTCTCGCTGAAAGGGGGAGTGATGATGTTGTGGTAGTGGGTACGGGAGACATCACAGTCGATGATTTGTGGATGATTGCCTTTGAGGGTGGGATCTCCTTGTTTTCCTTTATTACTTTTGTCATGAGATTTACGGGTTTGAGTACTTCGTACCTTCGGAGATTCCGGTGGAACCTGGTGCCAGGTCGTGAAAAAGCCAGGCTACGGAATGGTCAAGGACGTTTTTAAATGCCCAGACGATTCTGTCGAACCCTTTCTTGCCGTGCAGCATCGAAGGCAGTCGCAGATTGATTTCCACAACTAGTGATTTGATTCATTAGTTTCTCAGAGGCGCGATGATGACGGATTGACGTACGATATCGCTCTTTGGCATGTTTCCTTCCTCCGCTGCGGATGGGTTTCCCTGTCAGTCCTGTCCGTTCGTAGACCTCCTTGCCGAGCTCTAATTTCAAGATCCCTGAAGCATTGTTAGTTTGAATCTAGATGCGCATCTTCCTAAGCGAACGTACCGTCTTTGAGAGTGTAAACGTTGTCTGAGCCTGACCGCCCCTCGGATATCATGAGGATATTGCCTGAGTGAGAGGTTAGAACCAATGGAGATCGCTTCGCGACGCCGCCATGAAAGACAAAAGGTAATGATGTACCAGTTTTGATGTACGTATTGAAGAAGTCTCCTTCAAGCAGTGCTGAAGGAGACATGAACACCCTCGCATATCGAAGCTTTTGGACTTTCGCATCCAACGAGTTCTTGATGCTTGGATAGACCTCTTCTGGTAGGAGGACCTCTACCTGTTCTCGACGATTAGTTTACCATCGCTTGGGGGTCCACAGAAGCTTTTTATTTCTTGAACTTACCGTGTGCACAAATGGATGATTGACAATAGTTGAAAAGGGTGACTTTTTTATCGGTGGCTGCTTAGGGTCGACAAATGCAGGCAATTGCGCTATGGTGGTGAAGCACTTTTCACGCCTGGACGCGTCGTCGTCGAAGTCCAACATGATAGGATAATACCCTGCCAAAAAGTTCAAAATGTACGTTGGAAATTCTATTAGAGTATAGTCTCACTCGAGATGAAGTCGGAAAGGCGCTTTATGCTTGTATGCTTTGAGAATGTGTTGTCGTGGTGCCGTTTGGGTCGGAAAAGTGTGATTTGTAGATAGATAGAGCCTGCGGACCGGAAACTTCTTCAGCCCTACAAGGCTGTCCTTTCGCAGGTATCCAGATGACTCTTTTGATTGAACTTTCTGGGTATACTCGTCTAAAGCTGGGTAGTAAAGAGTTCTCCACTGTCTGTATTATATGGGCTCAATCGCAGGTTTAGTACTCAGGTGTTGCTATGCACGGCAACATTCCTCCACCAAATATATCGACAGAACATCCAGCGATATCCATGAAGGATTTCCCCGACCTCCTTAAGCAGTCAAAGTATTATTATCCGGGTGTAATAATCATAAGCACTTGACAAAACGTGGAGACCGTAAGCTATTGAAGGCGATCCAAGTACAATTGACTTTGTGGAGACAGAGTAGACTACATAGCGATCTGATAACAAACAGGAACCATCTTTGTACGCCGATCATCGAGGTGGCCTCGTATGAATCTTATGCAGCAGATGTGTCATGAGCCTCGAGTAACTAATTGATTATTGCATGAATCGCTCTCTCAACTTCATAAGAGAGGAAGAAGCTTGCTATAAATGTTTGTGCCTGAGGCACGAATCCTATCTTAGCCTGATAAGTGCAACGGACAATTATCGATTGTTCCCAACTTTCTCATGCGCCCTTACTGAGCAATCCTCTGCAATTGACCCCCTATCAATATTAGTCCGGTCTTGTATATATCTTGGGCTTTCTCTTGCCACTCGCGAGGGTCAACTCCTAGTAGCTCGAACCACAGCCCTTCGGGGCATGCATGTGGGTTTCCACTGCTCTCCGCTGTCGCACGCAGTTCTGCCCGCAGCTCCCTCGCAGCAATAGCAAGCGATGGCTCCTCCACCACGACGGAATCTCCTGCCAAAGGAGCGATTTGCATTCGCGTTCGGTAGCCTCAAGACTCAAAGCTATCATGACCCCATTGCAAGGGGTCCCGGGTCCCACACGTGCGTCTTCATCTTCGCTCACTTGGTGACCTCACCTTCAGAACCTCCGAGCTGACCACGGTTGTCGCTTCTCTGCCACAGTATCCGCACGATAGCGTGGAATCCTACCGGGCAGCTCATTGCTACAGGCTCGGCCGATCGAACCCTTCGCATCTGGAACCCCGAGCGCCCGGCAGTCAAATACTCGACCGAACTGCGCGGCCATTCCGCGGGCATCGAGAAAGTGTTATTTAACCCGGTTAAAGACTCGGAGCTGGCGAGTTGCTCGACGGATGGTACCGTCAGGTTTTGGGATGTGCGATCGAAGACTTGTGTAAGCCGTCTCGATGTCGGCGGAGAGGCATTCACAATGTCCTGGTCGGCGGATGGGAGGGTCCTTATGGTGGGAAGAAAGGTGTGTTGAAAGAACCATGCGTTACACTTGGGACATCGGAATTCATAAACGCGAACTCGGAGCATGAGCCATGGGAAGCGACGTATCGAAAGGGGACTGACTTTTCCGGATCCCAGGACGACACCTTGTTCCCCATTTCGATAGAATCGCCCTCTTCATCACATATTCTGACAGACGGCGTCACCAATTTCCCCCCAACATCATCTACGACTTCAAAAGAAGGAACGACAACCTACACCGCACTAGAATCCCATCCACAGCCCGTCCAGACCAACGCAACGACCTTCTCCCACCACATCCCCACCCCCACCTCTCCCGACTTGCATCTCTTCGCCACAACAGGCGAAGGCACCGTCAAAATCATGTCGTACCCGTCCTTCGACGTCCTGCACACCCTTCACGCACACACATCCGCATGTCTCTCTATAGCCCTCGCGCCTACAGGCCGGTACCTCGCCGTCGGCGGCAGCGACGCTCTGATCTCGCTCTGGGATACAACGGACTGGATCTGCCGGCGCACAGTCTCGAGTAACAACGGGGGTGCTGTCCGCGGCGTAAGCTGGAGCTTCGATGGGCGTTTCGTCTGCGGCGCCTGCGACGAGGTAGGCTGCGGCGGGAACGGCCTGGAGATTTTCCATGCTGAAACAGGGGAGAGCGTCTACACGGTTCCTACGGGCGGCAGCAGTGCATCTGGTATACCGACTGTTGCATGGCATCCCTCGCGTTACTGGCTTGCATATTCGACCACGGCTGACGGGCCTGGAAGTGCGGGTGCCGGAGGGCTGAAGATTGTCGGTGCCGCTGGTGGAAGCTTATGAGGCCTAGTATTATATGCTATGGAGCTTCCCCAGCCTTGCTCGTCGTACTGTAGTATGTACTGGGTTTGGAGGACTGATTTGTTGGCGAAACTGAGCCGGAATATGGAATGGGATATCTTTGCTCGTGATGTGTTGCATTGAGACTATTTCCAAGTAATGAATCTGGTATGTGCTGATAGAGCATTATACAAAAACACGATACTTCCTCCATAGATGTTATCATGTTACATCATGAAAGGACTCCAAGTAGTCATATACACCGAAACTCCAAATTTCAAGACCACAAATCGTGACTTGGCCGTTACCAGACACCCGCCCAGCGTAAGGGTATCACGTAAATCCAGCAGATGAGCTTAAACACTCACTCAATTTCCAGACCCTGCTTTTTTGAGAAGCTTGCAGGTTGCCTCAACAATGTTGGCCTCGAAGGCCGCCTTCTCGGCTTAGCCTTGGTTTCGCCAGGCGTCCCAGTTATTGGAACTGAGGAGTTCTGCCCACTGGGTCTCGCTGAGAGACCCCATTGTCGCGGGAGTTATATTGGTATTTTCTCCGTTGGATGTTTGCATAGCAGCAATATCCCATGATGGAGGAATGGGGAATGGTGGGTCTGGGACAGTAGTATCGAGAGATGACATAGCGTCGGTTGAAAAGATATTATCATTGTACGTAAAACCGTCAAATTGCCCAGTATTCGCGGCACCCGATGGGGCGTGCACCGACTCACTGTTACCGAGCGTATGGCTGGGTGTTCGATTCGAGAAATTGAGGGGTGAATGTTGCCGTACCTTTGGCGACGATGTGCTACTAGCACCGACGTAAGATGTATTTGAAGACGATTTCACGGCTGACGAAATTGAGCCTTCTGATATCGCATTTCCATTGTCGTCGAAACCCGGCGAAAGGTCCATATCTGTGCCTGAGCCTACCGTCTCAGGCCCGGAGCTGAGATTATATGACGGTTCAACGAAAGATTGCGAAAGTCCAGCCATTGGTGCACCTCCCGAGTTCTGGCCTTGCGCTGGTGTTCGCCTTTGGCGATTTGGAAGTGAGGCGGAGGGCTGGAACTCGTTGTGAATAGGCATTATGGACGTGCATTTTCCGTTCACAAAACCAGGAACCTAAGACAGGGTGAGGTTAGCAATTCCAGTTTGACATTGTCCATTGAAAATATGGTGTGCGGCCTTACCCTTTCCAGCAGCGCCTCACCCATTGGACGCCGAATATCGCGGAACGCTGTTCCCTCGATGTCAACGTCCAGCTGTACAAGAAACGACTCCGTCATGGGATTCTTGTTCTTCAAAGCATCAAGAGCTGAGAAGAAAAACTGCAAGGATGAACGAGCAGCCGAGTCATCGGGCCGCGACTGCAGATACTGCACGAAGACCCGGGCGGCGACGTACACACAGAACGACATGAAGGGATTCATCTATGGCAAATTAGCGTGGTGGCCGCTCAACGAGAAGTGGAAGGACGAACAAGAGTCAGATCTGTATGACTGATCATTTTCATGATGCTCGAAATTTGGTCCGCCGCAACAATACACCTCCGCTTGCTTTCGGTGATGATCTGATCGGGCATCTTGTTCTTCTCCGCTTTGAAAATGGCAGCTTGGTGTAGACAAATAGTCGACGTCTGGATAGCCATGTTGCAGAAGACTACATTCGGGTCGGCTATTCCAGCTGGAAGCCGCAGATGGCTGGGCATTGTCAACGCGAAATGAAGTAAAATATTGTCAAGACATCTGTGCCTTTTCCAATACTCGCCATTTAGATCGTGGTCGTTATCCTGCGGATCAGGGCGATGGAGATGGGCAAGATTGCGACCGAACATGCTTGACAGCAGTACAACACTTGCGAGAGATGACAGAGTCGCGATTCCTTCCCCTCGCATAACGCTGCTGAGACGTAGAGTACGCTCGGGCTTACTCTTAACAAACGATGCTTCACTGGCGGGTAAATTTGTCATGATCTATCGCGACGGTTAGTAATTGCTGTCAATCAGGCTGTAGCATGTTAGGGGGCCCGGGGAAACAGGGTACGAAACTGACATCTCTTTCATCAATAATGACAGGCCATCCGGTTCCAGCACTAGCGTAGCGATCAATGCAGAATGCCATCCAGAAGGTTCTTCGTCGCTCTTCCTTTTCTGTCCAGTCTCTAGCTGGTGGTAACGATTGCTTCACTTCGGGACCCAACCCGTCTAGCCGATTCAGGCCCATCATGAGCGCCAGTCGTGTAGCTTTGCCGCTACTGAGCCACGCTCGCGGGAAATACATCATTTTGAACTCGTATGTGCTGATCAGGAGCCATGTTTGGCAGTGCGCCAGAGTAACAATGCTCTCCCCGAAGCCTTTCATTTCATCCAGTTCAGCGTATTTCCTCGCCCGCTGATAGAAAAGAGCATGCAGGTTTGAGTATTTATCGCTGACAGAGGCTGCATGACACCAGGTCATATACTGTAGACACACAGCGGGTCGTATGTTGTAGGCTAAGTTCATGGCTGCTAGATGTCTCGGACGATGCAAGATGGGTAACGAAGGATGCACTTTGTCGAAATAAATTTGGTTCCTGTCAACTCATGAGATATTGATATAGAGATGCGAGAAATGATATAGGCGTACAATTCATCGATAACATCCTGAGTTGGCAATGGTTCCTCGAGTCCCAGACCCAACATATCCCAACCAAAGTTCCCCCCAGCATTGAGTCCTGACGGTAGGTATGCCTGAGATAAAGGCTGATGCTCAACTATTGGCTGCGGAGGTGACAGAGAGGTGCTGAGATCGGTTGCGAGTAAGGGAACATCCGGTAAGCTCGTCATCTCAGTTTCATTCGCTGCTGGAATATGGTTATGATTTTCTTGAGTCTGGGCGGCATTCGGCTCTTGGGTTCTTAACAGATTTTCGACCTGGGCTTCACAGGGACTAACATTAGCAATATGCAAGATGCAGAGTCTCCTGTCAGAGACAACGCCGAAAGGAAAGGATATCACGTACCAAGCCGAGCTTCCAGCTGCTTCACATAACCTCGCTTTGGACCACTCTTTTTGCGAACCTCATCGTAAGCACATTCATGACCTAATCGGGAGCAAGTCCCGCAGCTCGGCCTCTTTCCATCGCATCTCAGCTTCCGTCGCCGACATACAACACATGCGATGCGCTTGGTACGAGGAAGATGAAGATTATCCGCGTCGCCATGGCCGGTGGATGCTGATGGTGCGTCATGATTTGTCGGTGTAGGCCGTAACTGAGAGGAAGAAGAGGTAACGCTTAGAAAATTCTCGCCGAAGAGATCTGCCATGGCCTGGTAGTAGAACAGAGGTTGGTAGAAAACGTATCGCTAAAGGTAAGCCGCTGGCTCTCGGGACTATGCGACTCGACAAAGGCGCAAGAACGGAGGTTTCACGACCTCAATGACGAAGTACGAAAAGACATACCAATGCAGCATTGGAAGACGTGAAAGTAAGTTGAAGAAGAAGAATTAGGAGAGAAGTGTCATGCTCAGGTCGAGAATAGGCAGTAGGAAGATTCGTTGGCGTTGATCATTTTAGGTTGGTGACGGGCTGACAGCGCCACGAATCCCCAATCTGGAACTGGTGATCACCCCGCGTCCTCGAAAAAGCCAGCCTCGAAGCACTTGGAATGGTCTTTGTTATCAGCTTAAATGAAATACGGGCCATATTGCATTGAGTCTCTTTTTGAGTCTAGATACGACAAGCTGTCCCTGAGAGTGGTGGTCTCGTTATCAGCAGAAGCCACCGTCAGCCATCTGAATGGCGTAATCTACGTCGGTCTTGGGTTGAAAGTCCTTTGAGCATGCTTCACGATAAGACAAATAGGATCTCAGAGGAGATTTTCTTCTCCAGTGAATCATGTGTATTTCGACCGCATAGACGAGACAGCCATGGCAAACGCATGGAAATACAATCTATCAACCATAACAGCGAAGGAATAATCACAGGAAGTTTATAAGATATCGAAGATAGCATGCCTGGCGCCCGAATCGAGTCAAAATATGATACAGTGTGAGCGGAGGACCCATCCTCCGCATTTAGACATGAAAATATTCGAATACAATGAGGAACTGAAAAAAGAAAGGACATGTCACGATGCTGGATCGGTGACACAGCCTTTGCACATGTCTCCCCAATGGAATTATGGATAAACAGTCCCACCGATGCAGTAAATTCGCGGAGAACGACAACGAACACAGAGAGGGAATCTCAGTTGTAGCCTCTGCGACGCTTGCCTTGGTTGCGGACTCTCGGGACCACCACTGCCTTGTTGATCTTCCACTTGGGCCGGGTTTTGTAGCCGGATTTGGCCTGCACAAGGCGTCAGTAAATGAATAATCATAACGCATTCAGTCCCGTGATTACGCATGTACATACCGGTAGACCCCAAGGACTCTTTGGATCGACGTTACCCTTCGACTTACCACGTCCACCACCGTGAGGGTGATCGGCAGCGTTCATGGCGAGACCACGGACTGTGGGACGGATATTCAACCAGCGTGACCGACCCGCCTTACCGAGCTGCCGATACTGATGGTTAGGATTGCTGGCCACTCCAACCGTCGCGCAGCAGTCCTTGTGAATAAGTCGAACTTCACCACTTTGAAGACGAATGGTGACATGTTGAGCGATACGTTCTTGCTTCTGCTTCTCCCGTTGGGAGAGGGGCTTCTGAACTTCCGTTCCATCTTCCTGGGTTTCTACTTCGTTGGCCCGGGTTTTAGTATCGCTGCCCTTCGAGATGACAGTTGCGTAGGTGCCCGCGCTCCGGCACAGCTGACCCCCCTTGCCGGGACGAAGTCCGACGTTGAATATCAAAGTACCTACGGGGATCATGTGCAAGGGCAAGCAATTTCCTCTCCAAGCGGTCCTGGCAGCGAGAACACCAGGATCAACGGTACCTCCCATACTCTTCCAAAGATCCTCCGGAATACCAGACATATAACTCTGAACAACGTCGCCCGCTCTCATACCTTCCGCAGCCAGAATGTAGCTCAGCTTCTGGGTTTCTTGACTGCGCACAAGCGCGATATGGGCACTTCGCCCAGGGTCGTGTTCAATGCGTTCTACCAGATGCGGCCCGGGAGCAGTTCGTGCAAAGTCGACAATTCGAATGCGGCGTTTGTGACCACCACCACGGTGCCGAACGGTGACCCTACCCGTGTTGTTTCGACCACCCTTGCCCTGGCCACGTTTGGGGAATGTCAACTTGTGCACCGGTCGTCCCTTCCACAAATGGTCATTGACTGGCCTTCGCAAATGTCTGATACCGGGAGTCCGTGGCTTGTACTTCCGCAGGAGAACGCCAGCATCATCACGGGTTGGTGGAGGGGCAAAGGCGATGCTTGGATCGAAGGTGGAGCTGGATGAGTCTTCAACTGAGGGCTTCTCTTGCTCGTGGATGACTGTTGCATATGCTCGTGATGACACTGAAGACAGGCATCTGAAGGGTAGGCGAAGACCCGTCAAGGCGAATCGAGGTTGAAGCATGATGTTCAGTTGTATCTCGATTGATCGGAAATATTCCAAGCGCTGCCGGAGCTGCGAGATTCGGACTGCGCGATTTGAGGAGCAAGTAAGCAATCAATGGTGAAGCATACCCCCTCAATGCTAAACGATACAATCAGAGACAAGACCGAGACACCCTCAAAACCGATGACAACACTCCTTCGCCAATGGGAGTGTCGTCGTGATCTGCTTGTCCTCCGGAAAATGTCTTCGACTCTCCGGTGCGGATGTGGCTCGCGAGAGATCACCTGACTTACTGCACGGCCACCCAGAGTTGAATTGTGGCACAGCACTGAGATCACGGGACTGCGCGACACGGGAACACGTCCAACGGAAGTTCAAAGGTTCAACCGGTTGCTGGGCAACAACATATTGTTTTGGTGGTCCGGCGCGCGCTGCATCACGGCTAATGCCTGCGATAGCGTCTGCCCTGACTTCTCTGCCTAGGAACAAACTTTGAGGCATCGATACTCGTTTCACAGAGAGCCTCCACCACTGTAAATAATCATTCTTTCGGTGACGATATCTATACGGAGATTTCCGTACCTACACAGTACTTCCATGTTTCCTTCTGGTTACCTTCATTGCATCCTAACGTGTAGAGAGCAGTCACTATATGAATCTAATGGAAGCAGTCAACTATTTGAGTAGGGATATTGAATATGCCTTCATAAATTGGAGCACTGTCACAAATAATAAGTAGGTAGTCGAACTGGTAGCCCTGTAGTAGGTACCTGAGGTTTCGATACCTCTTCTCCATCCAGTGAACACCCATACAATACCTATTCTAAGGTATTACCTTACCATCTGGGAGACTTCCTTTTATTACCGTCACCACCCCTTTCCGTCCATCTTTACTTTGGCTCTTTGCGGTGTCTCATAAGGTGTCTTGTATTTCTCCTTTATCAAACGCCATTCTTCGCTCATCAATTATATTAATTGAGCCAAGTATCTCATATTTCATACTTCATACGGGGTTTGTCAAGATCAGCTCTTCTATCTTCTACGCGGTATCGACATCATACAACCGGGTGGTTGTGCTGTGGGGCAGCTTTGCCAGCGTACCTAGTTTGTTTCCACGCTAAGCGTAGGGCCAAACATCGCCTTTGCCCTGTCAACTTTACCAACCTTCTTTACACCACCCCAGCAGTACTGCTTCTTCAAGACAGCGAAAGCACCTCAAAAACACGCAATCAACAGTTCTTCGCGTGTCGTCTCTAGCCATCGAGACATTTTATGAAAATCTGCTCGCCGACACGAAGTTCTACTTCTTTTGCGCGCCCGAATAGGACGTGATTTGAGACGTCAAAAGGTTCTGTCAACAACATCGTTGGACCCATATATGCGATTATTTTTGACGACTCTGCAACAAAATTCCGTGCCTCTAACTAGGAATTCTTCTTCAAGTTGAATTGCTGGTCATTGAACGTATTTCCACGCGTGGTACGTGCAACCTGCGCCTTGGCTCTCAGGTATTCTATCCCCACCGGGGTGATCTGGAATGCTGACTGGAAAGCTTCTGCAGGTCGACAATAGCTACAGTACATCTCCTTTCTTTTTCCTTCGCTCTCCTACGTACTTCTTCTCTGTCTTCTTTTCAGCACCATGCCTCCGGTAAGTTCTCCCCATGAGAGACACGCGTAATGTTTCTACCTACCATCTTTCGAAAGCCATTGTGCTCTCCGGTTTGATGATTTGCAATTGTATTCTGATTGAACTTGTAACAGGCCCGAGGTCTTCGTACACGAGGTACAATGAATGAAAATGACGAGAACGGGCCGTCGACGCGTCTGACACGAGCAAAGGCCGCTGCTCTGTCTGCAGGAGATGTTCCAACAACCACCGCGGCTGCCAAAAAGCCCCTTCAGACCAAGAAGGCCGCCACCAACTCGACGACAACGGGAACACAAAGAAGACGCGCTGCCCTTGGAGATGTCAGCAATGTTACAAAAACGGAAAATGGCGGGGCCAAGGAAACGAAGAAAGCCGCGTCTGGCAAGGTCGGCTTGACGTCGAAAGCTACCATGCAGACCGGCGGTGTTCAAAAGCTGAGCCGGAACAACTCATCACGTACCGCCTTGGGCGCCAAAGATAACAGCGCAAAGAAGGAGAAGCCTGCGGTTGAAGGAAAGCGTCCCGGAAGTGGTTCTGGTATCGGCAGCACACAGATGAAACGGACGTCCAGCCAGAAATCGGTACCGGAGAAGTCCCTGCAGGTTGAGGGACCGCCGCGCAAGAAGGTTGAAGTCGAGAAGAATATCACCGAGAAGAAGACAACCGTGGAAAAGGGTTCTGCAGCGAAGGAAGATGCTGTGATTGCCGCTGAGCCTGAAGTCGCCAAGAAGCCTGAGGACGTAGTCGACGACCTGGACACTGAAGATTTGGACGATCCTCTGATGGCCGCTGAATATGTGGTGGAGATCTTTGACTACCTCAGAGACCTGGAGTTGGAGACATTACCCAACCCTCGCTACATTGAGCACCAACCCGACCTCGAGTGGAAGATGCGTGGCATTCTTGTCGACTGGCTGATTGAAGTTCACACACGCTTCCGTCTCCTCCCCGAGACGCTTTTCCTCGCTGTGAACATCATCGACCGTTTCCTTTCCGCTGAAGTTGTCGCTCTTGATCGCCTTCAATTGGTCGGAGTCGCCGCCATGTTCATCGCTTCCAAATATGAGGAAGTTCTTTCACCTCATGTGGCCAACTTCAGTCACGTTGCAGACGAAACATTCACAGACAAGGAGATTCTTGATGCCGAACGCCACATCCTAGCCACTCTCGAATACAACATGAGCTATCCCAACCCCATGAACTTCCTCCGTCGTATTTCAAAGGCAGACAATTATGACATTCAGACTCGTACCCTCGGCAAGTACCTCATGGAGATTAGCCTTTTGGATCATCGCTTCATGTGCTATCCTCAAAGCCACGTCGCCGCAGCCGCGATGTACCTTGCTCGGCTGATCCTGGAACGTGGGGCTTGGGTAAGGACCCTCGCACTTGCGAAGCAGAGTGACTTGTAAAGCTAACTCAAACTAGGACGCCACCCTAGCGCACTATGCTGGCTATACCGAGGAAGAGATCGACCCTGTCTTCCGATTGATGATCGACTACCTTCACCGTCCTGTATGTCACGAAGCGTTCTTCAAGAAATACGCAAGCAAAAAGTTCCTCAAGGGTAAGCTCTCCAAGATCATGCCGTCGGAATTCAACAGCAACTAATCAGTCTGTCTAGCCTCCATCCTTACCCGGCAGTGGGCCAAGAAATACCATCACATGTACATTGATAGCGCACTCACAGAACCGTACAACTTCATCAAAGAAAGTGAATAGGCGCGCATCGATGTTGTGCTAGCATGCTGATCATGGCCTCGATATGCCACATATCTCCGTGTTAGAGCAACGGATTCAATTCAAGGTATATGTCGGCATTTGTTTGTTTGTGATGGTAAAAGGGCACCTCTTGCATACGGTTATGACGGCATCTCTGTTTTCCAGTTTGCGTACGTTGGCATTATCCGCTTCTCTCGGGGGTGTCTGGCGCATCGTCTGTTTAAGTTCTTTGAGCTCTTTTTGGTTTCGGCACTGTCTTCGGGGTTGTTTCGCACAAGCTTTGATTGATACCTTTTACACATTCTTCTTCTTGCCCGCCTACGGGTATCACAGCTGTTGAAAGCTTCAGGGTTGGAAATGTACTTCCATTTGACTTAATTTTTGGTTCGATCACCTTACTAGCCTTCCGTATGCGCCGAGTGTCCGTCGTACGCAGCTAACTTCACGAATCAATGACGCTCCACATGCTGCTGTAGGCTTAAGGCGAGGATCCGGAGTGTCAACGTTCTGTTGAGTTGTACGGATCAGCAAAGAAGCGCAGCTATAAGTAGAAATTAAAGTATAATTTAAATTCGAACAGTTTTGCATTTTGCCTTATTAAGTTTCTACTTAAATTCCTGAGTAGCTCTCACAAGTAGAAGTCCAACATGTGGTAGAGCAACACCACAAATCAGTATAGAATGGTAGGTAGGTGTGAAGATTTAAGCCGAGGTCCCTCTGATCCCGGCCACTTTGAATTCATCAGGTCAGAGGCACAACCAACCCAAAACGATTGAAGTGTTGAAGTCACAATCTTTCTGATACATTGGCTGAGAGTCTATAGCTTTTATACCTGCAGAGATACCCTGCGTTGAGGTCAATCGGCCCCTCAATGCACCCCGGCAGATGAATCTCTGCTCCAGACTACCAAGCGCTCGCTACCATACTCATTGATGTTCTCATCAACAGAGACCCAGTCTAAGCTCTATTGAGACAGAGAAACAAGATGACTGTACCGTCATCATCAGCGTCATGCCCCTTCTGCCGCATCGCAGCAGCATATCCTCCCATCCCACCATCGATATTCCGTCCTCAGCACAAACAGGATGACGCACAAGAATCAGCTATCATCCCCACAGATACGACGCAAGAAACGCATGCGCATCTTGTACTCTCGACTCCATATGTCCTGGCCTTTTTGGACATCATGCCATTGACAAGGGGCCATGTTCTCGTCGTCACGAGAGATCACCACGAGAAGTTGAAAGACATGGGCGTGGAAGTCAGCAGAGAGGTCAGTATATCCTCTAACCTTTCCCCCCGGGCTACATGAGCAAAATCCTAAAGGATGCGGTCGCGCAGATCGGCCAGTGGCTCCCTATCATCTCGCGGGTCGTGATGAGAACTGTCTTTGGCACAGAGGCAGAACCAGATTGGAGTTGGAATGTGGTGCAGAATAATGGTACGTTATCTATCCACTTTGTCTGATTAGGGCTCTGGCTCATGCATCGAACAGGCATCAGGGCCGCGCAGCAGGTTCCCCATGTCCATTTCCATGTCATTCCCCGGCCGCCGTTGGACCCTGCGCCTACTGCAGCCAAAATGAGTTTCGTAATGTTTGGTCGGGGGCAGAGGGATGAGCTGGATGATGAGGAGGGAGAGTCGTTGGCCAAGGCGTTGAGAGAAGAGCTGGCGAAGGAGGTTCGCCGAGTGGAAGAGAGGGAAGGCGTTGATTTGGATGTGGCGGCTACGGAGGTGCGTTATCAGAGGATAAAGGGGAAGCTGTGAGATTGCAGCCTTGTGCTGCTCTTCATTATATCTGTGTTGATATATGATACCTACGTCGCGTTCTATCCTGTGATGCTCTCAAACAGGACTTCCAGTTGGCCCTATATGAGGGGCGTATTATAATGCATTAAGTGACAACGATTGTGGGATGCCTTCGTATTTCTAAGCAAACTTTTGTCTCATTGAGATACATCGCTTTCTGTACCGGACTTAGCCTTGGAGTTGGGGTTCTTCATGAAATACTGAACGTCTGTTAGTCATACACTCTCTGCAGAAGTAGGACTGAAGAAAATGACCTCACCTTTCTCCTGAAGGCATTAAGCTCATCAGCATACATCCCTTCTGAATCGGCTTTCCTTCGTCCCACAGAAACGTCTGAGGTCTCTCCTTCCGGGAGTCTGCGGTAAGTGATAAGGCGTCGGGACCCTAAAATGCCAAATCAGACATGATGCTATTACAGAGCGTTCTTCCCATGAACTTACAGTTGTTGAACGGCTGTACAGAGACACACACAACCTCCAAGTTTGGATGCATGGGGATGGCCAATTCCCCTTCCTCGTCGCTGGATGTTGGCATCCACATAGCCAGACGTCCATTTGTAACTAAGGTCCGCGAGGCGAAGTTGAGAATATCATTCTGCATGGCCTCAAATCCATAAGGTTTCTTCGGCGCAATGTAGTCCGGCCGCCTGAAGATGCATCAGCAAATCATGTATCGATATGTCCTTGATGTGAACTTACAAATGAGCTGGAACCCCATCGATCAAGACCTCTTCCTTCCCACGCCCGTCGCGAGTCCCCAGAACCCGAAGCCCCTCACGGACACCGTAAGGAGGATCACAAATGATGCCATCCAGGAACTGACTGGAGCGGAGAGGCGTGTTTGTCAGATCGGAAGTAAAGACATCCACGAATTTGCTTTCAGTGCCGTATTGCTGGAAGTTCGACAGTACTCCCATCGGTTTACCCTTCCCCATCTCTTTGCCGCGAAAGCTACGTCCGTCAATGTCCGAGCCGAGAGTCAGCGCGCCAAAGTGCGCAGCAGCAACGCAGAAGCTTCCTGTTCCCACAAACGGATCAAAGAACAGTCTGCCGGGCGCTGCATGGGCCATATTAGCCGTAACTAGGCTCAATTCAGCGTCCATCGATGTGGTGCTGATATACCGGCGCTTCTTGAGGTCGTACTTGTTGACGACCTCCCGGTTACTATTAGCAACCCAGCGCCCGAAATAGATCTTCTGCGGAGTTTGTAATTCAGCCGGCCGTGTTGTACTTGATGAGGTCGTCGTCTTTGAAATTGCAACGTCTGGGATATACTCCTCTAGCACCCAGAAATCCTCGTCTGGGTTCTTCATCCGGATGGGACCCTGGAAGTCAAGATAGGCGAACGACTGGATAATGTCTCGTTTCTCTTCATTACTTCGCTTTCCAGCAAAGCTCTCGATGGTGAAACGAAATGATACCTCCTTGTAGTTGTTCCAGCGAGGCTGGGTCCGTCTGCGGACGTCGCTGTGAACTTCTTCATAGTTAGTGCCTTGAGCCCAGAGCTCGAAGATATCCTTCGCTAGGATGCTACGAGCAATGAGTCCTCGTGCAGCTTCCTCATTTGCCAATTTGACAATACAATATGGTGACTGCTCTTTCGGTCAGCTGTACATATAATGAGATATCTCTGTCGAATGATGTAGGCGCGGGGGAACAAAAATTCCACCCTGAAACCCCTCCAAGATCATTACAATCCGAGATGGAAGGGAACCGCAGCCTGGGGAAAATGTGAAAAGAACACCTACAAATTCATTATAAGAAATAACCTCAAGGTCGATTCCAGCCAGAGCTGCCAGTGCTTGGATCTCCGGCCGTCGAAAACTTTCGTGCACTTGAGCGAAGCGGATCAAATATTCCATTGCGATGCCACCACGCCAAGATACGGCCTTTGATTCTGGATAGGCGATGTAAGAGCAATCAATTACTCCTATGTTTGCATGAGTAGGTAAGAAAGAATGTATCCAGCCTAGCCTTGGCTGTATGGTGCGTCAAATGGTGGTTGCGTCGACTGTGATGACTTTTTGATCGATTCTTCTACTTTTGCCGCGAAACGGAATCTGCTATTATCGGACCATCCGACACTGTAGGGAATGGGCAGAGAAATGAGGACAATACGCTACAACAACTCATCTCGATACCAAAATGTACTTGATCACCTAGAAAGAAACTTCAGTGACCTCAAGGACTCTATTCTTGATGAGGATTTCGCGTCTTCCTAGCTCCAGCTCTTATGTACTTTGTAAAACAGGGCATACACGACAAACATATCCCTTACTGAAGTTGACCTTCAGTTTAACCTAGTATAACCTCTGACAGATGATACTGCAAGTGCGAATATTGGAATAAGCCCACAGACCTGCGCCATCCCTAACCGATAGACAGTAACAAAATAACCATGACAAGACTCCGCCGCTATGCGCCCACAACCTTAAATACATATCGTGAATCATATCCTTCAACCCGAGTAATCTCAACCTTCTCATCGGGGGGTATCATGTCATGTTTCAACTCCCAGCCGGCCCGACGAGACAGCTCGGAGACTACCACATCGCAATCACCCAAGAGGTCAATATCGAAGCACGTATGCGTCACAGGCTAAACAATGGGTCAGTTCCAAGGCCACAAATGTCCATGGGATTGGAGCGTAACGTACAGTACGAGAAATATAGATCTGGGGGACATGGCGAGGGAGAACACCCGGAACTTCAGCCACAGGTGCGACTTTCAACGATGTACCAATCACGATGACCAAGTCCACTTTATCACGGTCATGATGAAGCAGACGACGGCCGAACTCGTCGGGCAAGTCCTCGCCAAAGAATGTAATGTCAGGCTATATAACAATTAGCCGTCAGTTGCTATTAGCACCTTCATGATACTTCGCACTCACCTTCATAACGCCAGGAGTGGGAATCTCGTAATCTTCCTCCTCCGAACTGTCCTCGCCGTCCTTCTTCCTGCTTTTCTGCGTTCCGTTGGACATCCGTTTCCGTTTGAGACCCTGCGGCTTCAAAGAATCGTCTTCGAGACTCTCTTTGCAAGCCACGCATTCGGGAACAATGCCTTTTTTGATGTCGTCAAAAATATCTTCGCCTTTCACTTTGTGATGACACTTGACGCACGTAGCCGTCGCAAAAGAGCCGTGACATTGCAGGATTTTCTCCGGCAGAATACCTGCGTTGGCCTCAATGTTGTCGATGTTTTGAGTATAATTGGTCAACAGCTTCCCTTGATCCTGCAGGAGCTTGATGAAGGCATGAGTGGGCGAGAATTTCTTCTCCGTAGGCAATATATCCTTCGCGATTGAGAAGAAGATATTTGGATCATCACGGAACACATGAATATCAAATACCTCCTGAGGGTCGCTTAGCCCCAGATGTTCTAATTGAGAATAGAGTCCGGTATCTTTCGAGCGAAAATCGGGGATTCCAAGACTCGTGGAGATCTTGCCAAAATCGTCAGTACCAGATTAGCCGAACAAGCACCTTCGATCTGAAAACTTACACCTGCGCCAGTCAACACAATGATATTCTTGGATTCCTTGAGCAACCGGACGGCATCGTCAATTGTATTGTATTGAGGAAGTTTAGGCCGCCTCGAGAATTCGCGCGAAATCCCAATCGCAAGAAGAGGGTGATACGCTTCGTCAGGGGCCCCTTCCAGGAACGCTGGCGGCATGATTCCAAACGCAGTACATAACTTCTTCGCGGTGACAGTATCACGAGCAATCGTTTCCTCAACGAATGCAGCCTTTCCGATTTCATGTAGTCGTTCGCGGTACGCAATGGCTTCTTCCAGAGTGCAAGCACCCGGCACTGGTCAAGATCATGGTTAGTGGAAAGACACTACTGAAGGGAGTGGCATGTATAAGCCAGGCGCATAAAGAAGGAGCTTACCGCCATCGCGAAGTTGCTCATCCTTCAGTACTTGAATCGCATCTTCGTACAGGGACTGAGTTTCCCATTCCTCTCCAGAGTCATCGCTGTCAGACTCGTACTCGGAATGGGACGCCTCGCCCACCACAGCAGCCGTATCTTCGGCCTTGATCTTCCCTTCCGTCTCCACGGCTGCCATATCAACGGCTTCCACTTCGACCACCGGATCCTTCAACGACGCGCTCTCCCCGCCGGACACTGATATTACGTCCATCCTGAATAAAGATTGGACACTTCCGGCTGCCTCTATGAGGGATCTCCACTCACATTGAGCTTTTTGCCACTCAAAGTCGGTCGCCGGGGTAAATTTGGTTCTGGGTATCTCTGGGTAAAGCGGTCGGAGAGGACTTAATCCGATTCCGACTCCGATATTGAGTGACAAAAGAAGTCAGGGATCAATGATATAGCAAGCAGTTAAGACTGGCGTTTACTGGTCCCAAGGCTGGTCCACAACAGTCTTGGGTGGTCGTCGAATAAACACTGCGATATCTATGAAAACCCCCCCTCTGTTAATGGAGACAAATCCAGCCTGGCTTCTGTGCATTAATAAATTCATCTCTATTGGTATCATGACAGATATTCATCAAACATATATGACTTGTAACTTTTTATCAATCCGCCATCTCGTGGTCTTCATCTGACTCGTCCTCGATCTCATCTTCCCAATCCCCTTCCCCTTCCTCCCCTTCGGCATCCTCGGCGTTGCTGTCATCTTCCATATCCTCGCCTATTTCTTTGTTCATCTCTTCAACCAGCTCAAGAGCATGCTCCTTGAGTCTTTCATCTTCATATTGGACCAGGTCGTAGAGGGTCAAACTCTGTTTCAACCATTCGCGACTGGCGACAAGGGAAGCTTGTCGTTGTGACTCGGGCGATGCTTCTGCTTCTGCGTCCTTGGGGGCCTGTCGCTTCTCCGCGAGAAGATAAAGACACCAACCGCCCAGGTACCATGCTTCCACGCTCTGGTCATCTTCGAGAATCAAACGTTCCAAGACTTCGAGGGCTTCCAATTCCATTGCAACTTCCATGAGTAGACGCGCAAGACTGACTCGAGTTGCAAACTCTGGAACCTTTGGATCTTCAGGAGGCAAGTCTTTCCATAGCTCAAGACTTCGGGAGAGTGCGGCTCGGGCATCATCTTGTCGTAATTGGGATATCCTGATGGATGCTAGTGTCTGGAGGACTTCGGGCGCTTGAGGATCAACCAAGAGAGCTTCCGTTATGAGAGATTCGCACTGGTTTTCGGCATCTTCTTCCCAACTGGAGACTGTCAGATTATTCCACCATGAATATGTTGGGTAAAATGCTACTCACGAGAGATCTGTCATGTAGATTTCCGCTACTCCGCAGAGTGCATTCGCCATCTTCTTCTTCTTTTCTGCCAACTCAGCAGCGGTCTGAGGGTCCTGCTTTTCCTCCAACTGCTGGATGATTGTTCTTAGAGCCGAAACACCTTTCTCAAACCACTGGACACTATCCTTCCCTCCCGCTTCGCTCAATTGAGCCAGCCATAAAAACTTCTCCGCACCACCCCCTTCGGACTCGGGTATTGTGCCATTCGGGTCGAGCTCCACCACACGTAAAAAGCATTCTCTCGCAGCATTGATATCCCCCAGTTCGACGTAGATCTCGCCAATAGTATTCAGGGCTGATAGTTGAGTGGGGGAATTGGCGGGCGCAGAATTGAAAGCCTGCTGAGCTGCTGCAAGCGCTGCATCTGCTTGCCCCGTTTGAAGTAAGACGACCGCTTGCTCAAGGAGTGTCGCAGGATCTTCGGTCATTTTCTGTTTGGATACTGAACCGCCAGCTCGGAGAACGGACTTTTCACGCGACTTCGAAGCCTTCTTCTTGTGAGGTCTAGATTTGCCCATGATATATTAATGGGCTGGTGTGCCTTGAACGTACTGTAGAATTCTTCGCGAATAGAAGAGGACAGTTTCAAATTATATAGATTATCATAATAAGTATCCAACAACGTGGGCTCTGTCGAGCTTGTATTTCAGATAGGCGGAGAAGCATTGAAATTATTCCCTTTTTCGGATGAAATAATTTTGGTCGTCCTTATCTGTTTGCCTGGTTTGCATGCGGGACCGCAAGATCGTCTATGGGCATTTCGGTGCACTCCAAGCTTGATAATAGCTGTCAGATGAGTATACTTTAAATCTTCTGGGGTCAAGACTCTCAAACTAATTCGAACGTCCGAGTGCTAATATTGTTTGCACGACTGTCCTTACTGTGCATCTGCTGCGAAACCTACTCGCAGTACCCCACCAGCCACTAGCACATTTGAAGCAGAATGGGCCGCGAAGAGCAGGTCGAGGAGCGCGAGGTGCTCGACTCCATTTTTCCCGAAGAGATTACAGGTTGGGCTACAGCTGTCTTGATTCGCAGTTGCGATCTTGAATGCACTCAGTCGCTGATTGTGAATTGACGCTCAGATATTTCCGACACCGCATACCGGATATCGATTAATTTAGAGACGCCCGAAAATGACGCCCGAGATGAGGAAGAAACCGAGCAGCCAGTCCTGATTCTTCAGGTATCATACCCACCAGAATATCCCGACGTTGCCCCGGACCTTGACATCTCGTCCCCTCCAAATGCACCCAAGCACCCTCTGCTAGACATTCAGGAAGATCGTGATCGGCTCCTGGAAGCTTTACAGCCAACTATCGAAGAAAACCTGGGAATGGCTATGGTCTTCACTCTGGTCAGCACTTTGAAAGAAAGTGCCGAACTACTCATGGCTGAACGGGCGAACGCTGTCCAGGCCGCGAAAGAGATGGAAGCTGCGAAGGCGGAAGAGGAGGAGAATCGGAAATTCCAGGGCACAGCGGTGACTCCTGAAACATTTTTAGAGTGGCGAGAGAGGTTCAGAAAAGAAATGGAGGAAAAGGAGCAGAGGGAGCGCGAGGAGAAAGAGGCGGACGAAAAGAGGGCAAAGAAGGCACCGGTCAAAGAAGAGAAGAAGCTTACTGGCAAGCAATTATGGGAGAGAGGTTTGGCAGGGAAAGCAGACTATGATGAGGATGATGAGGATGCTATTCCGGCCGCTGTTGAGAAGATGAAAATTACTGCATAAAGAAGTAGTGCTGGTATATCTGGGTTGATTTTGCTCCAGCATTCACCTGTACATATCTGGATCTAACATTGAATACACTTGCTGCGAGTAGCGCTGGACACTTTGAAGAATCACACGTGTGATTGCCCCACTGGTGACTTTGTAGATGGTTGAAGCATTCTACCTACAAACACCCAGTGGTATCCGTACGATTCGTACCATGTCATCAGTGGGCTAATCTGGCTGTCCCCAGGACGAAAGGTATGATTGGACTCGGGATAGACTGGTCGATCAAACCATCCCATTTAGATGCTTGCTCATACCGCAAGCTGCAACAAGGGTAGTAGAGCTGGTTGTCACTAGTTTTTATAAGGATGACCACCCAGTTTCATGTTCAAAACACCTAGAGCGACGCACTAAACGTCCGCATCAAGCATTATGGAGGTGAAATGGTGGGCCCACATTTACCACTCAGCATCATAGACGTTTAGATGCTGTTGGAATTCTCGCACAAGCGAGCTGCTCCGGTGAAAAACTGTCAGTTGAGCTCACTGCAGCCGAACGAGAGCGCAATCTCTCGTGTAGTGGATGAGGATATGAAGCTTCGCAGAGCGCAAAATCCACGACATAAAGAGTGGCCTGCGTAGAAGAGAATATTGCTTCCCTGGTTCGACCCTTCATCTTTGGGTTGACGCCTGTGTTGCTTCTTCCGCAGCCAATTTGCGCTCTGCAAGGACGACTTGCCACATCGCCTCGGCAAGCTCCTTATTCTTTAAATCTGACTCCTTTAGCTGCGTGTTCACCTCGGCCAAAGCTTCCTTGATTTCTCCAGCCCATGTTTCTGTCTCTGGCCGACCAAGAGTCAATTGATCCCACTCATCCTCGTCCTTGGCGAATAGTATTTCAACACCAAGCTTGTCCCGGCGCTCTATCCGACGCCAGCGCTTATCGAGTTTCGTCCGAATAACTCCGCTCAGATTCTTGGGCTGCGGCTTCTTGATGCGCAGAAAAGGAACCCCCCGCGCGCTGACGAGCACAGGGACCCGACGTCTTCCATTCACGACTGGCCGGGGCCGGGAAAGGATGGGAGTGGCGTCCGGATGTCTTCGCGCAGTCAATTCTTGAAAGCGCCTCGATTCTTCTTTCTTGAGTTCTCTCTTGGATAAAGGCTTTGGTTGAACTGTGCTCGCTAATGCTTTCTGGAACTCAGTGGTCTGTTTTTTAATCGACTGGCTTTCCAGGACTAGTTTCACAATACGGTGGCGGTCATGTTCATTGCCCTGAGACGCTGAATGTAGTAAGTCGAGAGCCTGGCAGATTGAACGGAGAGTGTATTAGTGGTAATGCCACGGAAGACGGCACCTAGCGACTGTGTTCGTACCTCATATCCAGCTTTCAGGGCATTTGCAGTCTGTGATGGACTTTGAAGGTTCTTATATTTATGGAACTTTTGCTGGATTAGCGACTTGGATGTTTGGAGCTCAGGTACTGCACCTGGCAATCTGCTACACTGGCGGAGGAGTGCTCGATACAGTGCCAGGCCTAGAGACGACTGGTTAGCTATGTGCCAAATATGCCTCGCAATAATAAACGATCTTCTAACATGGTACTCACAAGCATATCGATGCGTCCCTAAGGATTTCGGGACGATGAGTCGATGCATAGCTTGATCAACTTGACACTCAGTACTCCGTAATAATTTGTTCCCTTGTATCTCTATCCAGAACATGTGATTACGGACAGATTAAATATCACGTGATGAGCTTTGAGCTACATAGCTATGCTTGACATTCGCATATCGTTCAGTCAAATATACTTGGAAGATCTTGTCATCTATCAGCGTGAGGTACTTTTCACCTGTTATTAAGCCATCTTGTCTGGGAGCAGTCGTTACGGTCTCTATCGCATCTTTTTCCTGATGCCTGACCTTCGGAAGCATGTCTGGTTCCGTCGCCTAGGTCTATACAGGTTGGACGGAAATAACCGCTGACCGAAATATTAAATATGAAGTCACATTACTTCCATTGTCGCTGTTACAAGGTTAGGGTCAAATAGAATATCTGGCACGTTTCGTATTTTGATTGCTTGGAAAATGGGCTTCTAACGAAACCACGCCAATACCTGCTGATATGCATAGACTGTACACGCTCTAGAACTCAATGTAGTAAGGAGAGAGACCTAACGTAAGAACCGACCTGTTACTCCAATGACCATTGTCTGATCCATGTACAAGGCGATAGACTCAGAAGTTGGTGCCTTCTGGGGGCTGGGGAAGCTTCTTGTGTTGTGGTAGGGCCATGTATCTGAGCGATTAGTTAGCCTACTCCTGCAAGGTAAATAAGAGGTCCAAAACTCGCCTTCTGATCTCAAGTAGGATCGTCTCCATGGTATATTCCCGTTTCCACTGGGCCAGACAGGGGAGTTTGGCGGGATCGACCTAAGCGACGATTAGGAGATATCCCTCTCGATTGGGAAAGTAGTGGACCAAGATTCATACTTTTCCCGTCTTCTGGTCAACGCATGGTATGTTGACGCGAGAAATGAATTGGATAGTTGGGGGGTTATCAGGATAGTCAGGTCCGCAATGGATCTGGACACTGTATATCCGATTCTCATGGACGCTCTAATTTCCTTAGGTCAGCTGACTTCTAGGTCTGACAATCGGAAAGAGATAGAGAACGAACATGGGGTGGGCCAAGAATGGTGCCGTTCCAATTGCTCATCATCATATCCTCGCCATCCGCAAGACCGTAGGAGCACGCCTCTAAATTGAAAAGCATCATGATATCAGCGGGGTGATGCGTCATGGCAGATTGGTCGCATGCTCACCTGCTCCCAAGCCCTTCTCTCCCTTTTCAAGCTCCTCAAGAAGCCTGAAGTTTCTTGGAATCTTTGCTGCCATTGCAGTGACTGTTGTTGAAGACGGGACAATACGAGTTCTGTACTAGGACAAAAGGCTGCTGTAGAGAGCGAGATTATCCTACCTTATCAAGGCGGGAGGAAGAGGGGCACTCTGCAATGCACTACTGATTCTGGTTAGCCTGTGTGCCTGAGGTACTTGTCACGGCTGCCTTGATTTCAAGAAGAGTCATCTCACGTGATGATAACGACAGCCACTTGTATCACGTGGGGCCGGCATATCCACTGATGTCTTGGCATTCCCTGGAGAAGCCACCTAGTCCAGATAGAGCTAAGGTACGGACGGAGTATCTGTCACAGGAACGGTGTATGTGGATCAACTCGATTGCATCGTCTTTGCTAAGTGGCTGCAACACAATTATCTTCTCTCTTCTACTCCTTGACAGATACATGGCTGTTATACCGGAAGTAAAGTGCTGAGTTCTGTTTCCGGTCTGGAATTTCTCAGTCTCCTTACAATCCACTAAATGCTCCATGAACGAATATCGGATTCAGCGAACACCTGATCGCCAGTAGGGAGAAAAGTCCAGGAGATATTCCTCGGACTGGTAGCATTGGGCATGGTGCGACTGTACACATTGATCGGAAATGTCCTCACAGTTCTTGCAAACAGAACTCTTGAATCTGATTCAGGAGTCCAAACGGAAGAATTCTGACTTGCGAAATGTTTGCTTCCCATCTAATAGAGGAGGTTTCATGAAACTCAAGCTTACTGACGGCTTAGGCTGCTGAGGAGTCACTGAATGATTTGAAGGCGTTGCCTTCAACTTCCGAGGCTCAGATATCTGCTGGTGGGTGTCAAGCAATGCCATATGTCGCCCTTGTTGCTGCTTGGGAAAATTACTGAGTACCCAAGAGATCTTGTGCGCAAACCCAGATTTGTCGATCCATTTATTTTAGCCTGCCATAGTCGACATGCAAAGCTTGCCGGAATCGGAGTTGTCTGCTTGCAGAGACTTGTGGCTTCACGGTCTCTACCTTCTGAGAGGCTGAAGGATGTCCTTGGGGGATTGAAAGAGACCACTAGCCTGAGTAAGCAGTCATAGCTGATAATCCGTCAAATCGCTAACTCGATCAGGCCTGGATATCCAACTCAAAATTTTGCAGTCCTTGCCCTCACTTTTGCAGCATTATTCCAATGACCTAGGCGGAGAGCTTCTTGCAAGTACATTAGAAATATGTGCTACGCTGCAAACAAGCAAAACTCTTGCCGTATCTAGCACAGCAGCGGCCACTCTTCAGCAGTTAGTAGTCTCGACATTCGAACGAGTTGCTGAAGAAGACAGTTAGTTTTTCCTTTGTTCGGCCTGGCTTCTTATGCCTGCTGACGTATCTTCAGAAACTCTCGATGAAGGCAAGCCACGAGTGACAATCAAGCTTGAAGCTGACTCCGTGAACATCGGGTACTCTGCGTACGATGCATTGCGGGTAAGCATCACACTCCTACGCGTATTCGGACTTCATTGACATAGCGCGTAAAGGTCTTGGATGATCTGTGCCGGCTTGTAGATGGCGAGCAATTGCATTTTCTGCGTATCAAGTCACTTTCTCAAACGTTCACATTGGAGCTCATCGAGAGCATTCTCACTAACAGCGGACACTTATTTGTTGGACATGCGGAGCTCACGCATGTTTTGCGGACTCGGCTCATGCCGATGACAGTCAGGTACCTCTCTGAGAGGCACGGCTTTGCCTTTACCAGCCGCGTTGCTCGGATTCTTCTTATACTTCTCAAGCGTTACATGTCTCTTCTGACAGCCGAATGCGAGATGGCTCTTGGGTTGCTGACTCACCTTCTCGAACCCGATGGGACGTCGCCTTGGAAAAGAGTACTCTGTATGGAAATTTTTAGAGGACTTTATGCCGAGCCGGGGCTAGTTCGGCTCATTTATTCTCTATATGACGGAGAAGACAACAGGAAGAATATTCTCAGAGATCACATGGCCGCTCTCGTTCGTCTAGCGTCTGAGAAGCCTTCATTGATTGGAGTCAGCAGTCGTTCAACTGTACCCTTGCGAGCTGAACATGCACGATCCATAACGGAAGAGCAGATAACACTTGAAGCCGGCGGAGTTGCTGGGGTTATTGGGGCCACTGGCCCTTCTACTGAGACTAATTTCCAGGGAATTAGCAGTCAGTGGAGCACAGTCCGCACGCCGTACATCGAGCTGCTTGACAAGACCGATCCGCCATCTCCCCCTGAAACATACATCTACAGCCTAGTGCTCAATTGTATCACCTCATTTGCAGAAGGGCTGGCGAAATTCATACTTCCATTAACTGTCCCAGACTCAAAGCAGAAGCGGAGAAGTCGGATTATGAGCCCCGACAAAAGCAATACTACTAAGCCTGCACATAATCTTCAGAGAAAGGATTCCAGCACAACGATACACCGATCGAATTCCAAGAAACTCGCGATACCTCTTAATCCCTTGGACCTAGATTCTCACCCTCAATTGACAGCAATCAAGGCCTGCGCCGGCATCATTGAGAATTGCTGGCCTGCTATACTTGCAGCCTGTTCGACATTTCTCTACGCTTCGTTGGACGAAAATTACTATCACAACCTTGTTCGATCTTTTCAGAAGCTCGCTCATGTTGCCGGCCTTCTCAGACTGTCCGTTCCGCGGGACGCTTTTTTGACTACTCTAGCGAAGGCTACAATGCCAGCTGAGATGGCTGGTGCTTCGACTGCAGCTGCCTCAGATTCCCACAGCATTACCGCCATGGATGAAAAACGCAAGGGCGGCGTGGTGTCCCTTGTTAGCTCCCCATTTCCTGCGGACGGTCCGAGAGCATCTGCGGAAATTGCTTCATTGTCACTAAGCACCAGAAATCTGCTGTGCCTCCGTGCTCTCTTGAATTTGGGGATTGCCCTCGGTCCCACTTTAGATCAGCCGGCCTGGTCGATCATTCTCGGAACGCTGCAGGATGTAGACTTACTCATCGGTATGGCCTCCAGCAAAACAAATAGCTCTATCAATAATGCGGTGGATGTGTCAGGCGATATGTCTAAAGCCAACCTCGGGGCAGAAATTACAGCTGTTCAAGCAGCCTCTGCAAAATTGTTCGAGAGCACTGGTGACTATCCGAGCGATTCGTTCGACGGTCTGCTGATTGCTCTCCTTGACCTCTCCGGCACAACTGAAGAACCAGTTAAAGATGAGCCATCTGAAAAGATACCGGGGACTCCTAACTCCTCACCGTCGCAAAAGCACGTCGGTTGGCCACGGAGGAACAACCGGGGTGTGTCCTTTGTGGCCGAAAAGTCCAGAGTGCGGGATGAAGAACTGAAGTTTGTCTTGGACAAAGCAAAAGAGCTCGCCCAAGCAAATCTTGAACGCTTGTCGTCGTTGGCCGACACCGACCGCGGCGTCTGGCAGCTGCTCACTGAGCGGTTGATTGCCACCGCCGCAAACCCAGAGATAAGCCAGAGACTTCGTCTAAAAGCGAACGGTGTACTCAGCTATGTCGTATTTGAGACTATGAAACAGGGAGACGATGCTGATGATTCAGTCCGAAACGCGCGTCATATCAGAAACCTGGAAACTCTGAACATGCAAGTCTCGACGCTCTATTCGGTTAACGCTTGCATGCCAGGGTTACCACCCTCTACCTCCGTCATAGAGATTCATGAGCAGAGTCTGGAGACGTTAAAGAGTATTCTGGAGCAGTACGCAGAGTCTTTCAGTGATGGATGGACGCTTGTCTTCAGTCTGATATCTAGTGTGTTCGGGGACGTTTCAAATGGCGAGAGCGCGGCAGCGGCAGGAGATACCTCTAGCAGGGCGCGTGACACACGCTCGGTAGCCGATTCGCCTCGGCTCGTTCGTGCTGCATACAAATCTCTACAGTTAGTCGCTTCTGATTTTATCGCTCTCTTGCCACGCCAATGTCGGTTGGACCTCGTGAATTCATTATCCCGTTTCGCTTTACAGCAAGAGGACTTCAATATCTCCTTGACAACGACATCATCTTTCTGGAATGTATCTGATTTTCTGCAAGGGCAAATTGAGGAATTCTGCATTGAGTCGCATGTCGAACTCTCAGTCAGCGAGGAGACACTTTCGACTCTTGCAAGAGGTGATGAACCCTGGGTCTCACGAAATGCGCTGTGGCTGCTGCTTCTGCTTAGGATTGTAAGCCTTGCGAGGGATAGCAGGCTGGAGATCCGAAACTGCGCGATTCAAACCCTTCTAAGGATTTTTGATGCGTACGGGCAACAACTTTCACCCAAGGCATGGCGTCTGTGTCTGAATCGTGTTTTGTTCCTAATGGTTGAGGCCATCGAACTTGAACTCGCAAATTCTCGGGCAGCGGAGAAGGCCAGAGGCTCTGAGGTGGTTCAGTCTTGGATAGAAACAGCAGTTGTCATGATCAAGGGGTTTTCCAATCTGATAACTACATTTTTCGGGCCTATTGTCGGAGACGGTGCCTTTGACGCTTCCTGGGAACGTCTCCTGGGATATTTGCACAAGCTTATCAGCTCGAACTTCCTGGAGCTAAGTGAAGCGGTATTCTCCAGTCTGGCAAACATCCTTCTTCGGGCGCAGACGACAAATAATATGAGCAAGAAGGCTCTCGGACTCGCTTGGTCGCTGTGGGTTGCTGGCCATCCTGCTCCCAGGGAGGACATGATTGACCTCGGACGCCCAAATCAGGATGCATCATCTGCATACTTGCAGGCATTTCAGGAGTTGTATTCCCTCTATAAGGACGATCTAGGGGATGACCATATTGAGCATATTCTCCATCATTTGCGCCTCCTCGCTTGGAACTCCGTCTCCTCTCCTTATTCACCGGACGTGGATCGGGTTTCGGATGTACAAGCAATTATCATTGACTGTGTGAAACTGCTATGTTCAGACAAGCCGGAGGCCCAGCCAAAGATCGTTTTCTGTCTTGCTGACTTGGTTGATTCCGCATTGACAAAATGGTCCCTAGATTCAGATTCGAGAAGGCCAACTTTTGTTGCGTTCTCGAAAAGCGCTGTAGAGCTCCTGGGCTGGTATATTGCTGCCTTTGGTATCAGGGAAGATATCTTCTCCAATGGCTCTCTATCTTGTGCCTTGGAACATCTTGGGAACCCAATTGTTCAAAGGTACGAGTGGCCGGGAAAAGACCGAGATCCCAGTTTATGGCAGAAATCGACCACTGCAGTGCTGGATATCCTCCATGTGGCGGTTCCATACGTCGAAAAGCAATACGAAAACGCAAATTTGGAAGAGATCTCGCGGTTCTGGAAGTGCGTGGTAGACATTGTGAACGGCATTGCCTCTGCGAAAGGTTATCGAACCCGTTCAATTCCCACAACAAAAATCCACGCAGACGAAACCTTTGATATCGATGCTATGAACAAGCTCAAGTCCATCATCATTCCATCTCTAGGCGCATCCGTCATTCCAGACAATATTCGACGCCAATTCGCTCGTACGATATTCGACTCCTCTTTCATCTACCAGCAACAGCGTTTTGGCGCTCCTATCAAGTATTCGGATAAGGAGCTCCTGCAGGATCTATATGATGTCCGGCCTGGCCGAACGTTTGACCCACCGCCAACCCCACGTGCTCGGATGGCATACGTTCTGATCGACACGCTATTTGAGCTCGCATCAGCCTCCCAGCCCAACAATGATGATACATCCAGAAAAGAGACAAGTGATACGGAGCAAACGACAGCCCGCGTTCTGCTCTCGCGCTCTGTCTCCCCGTATCTCATACTCCGATGCGCCGTGTCCCTGAAGGCATACATCGCGGATCAGCCACTCCGCGGACTCATGCCGCAGCCCACGCCGGCGCGCAAGGCGCTGCTACATCTTCTCCGCGGCATGATCGATTTGCGGAGCGAACCAACTGCCATTCCTCCTCCGCCTATGATCAGGACAGTGGTCATGTCATCCGCCGACTCAAGCCAGGCTGGAAATGAACATCACAAGAAACATCTGGAATGGATATACCCACTCGTTATAAAGGCGGTGCAGGTCGCTGGAAGGGAAAAAGATGACGGAGAGGTTCTCCAGGTTCTTGGAGCGGTCTTAGAACGGGTCGGCAATGATGTTTAATTTGTATATTTCACATTTTTCGCTAGAGACCATTTCAAATAGATCTCGATCCTGCATATTTGTATAGATAAGCATTTGCGGAAAGCGAGAGTCGCATTCTCAATCATCGTTGGGCACAGCGAACTACCATATTTAAGGAATCAATTGTTGACCGTCGACTACAGGGCCAGTTTATCTGATGGCAACGATTCAAAATAAGCACAAGGTACGGATACAGAGTCAGATAGGGTATATGTACGGAGCAGAAGATGTCGCCAAATCTCAACAACTTCCATGAAATAGAAACGTTAAGCGAGACGCCATGCGACACACTCAGCCTACAGGCTAAGCGGCAGGGGCGGATACTCTCTGAGTGTGATATGATTCGCGTCCAGGTCCGGCCGTGGCTGACCCTTCTGGTAGGGGCTGTTGCTGCTTCTGTTGCTGAAGGAGCTGCTGCTGCTGGATCTGTTGTTGTTGAGCGATTTGAGGGGTCGCTGCGATCTCGGGAGCTTGTCTGTAGAGAGTAATCTCGGACTGCTTGAAGTACCGACGGGCATCTAGACACAAGGAGTTCAGGTCAGTACGTTTTAATACAGCAGTGGGATGCAAAACTGAGAAAAACAGCTGGGTTTCGAAACAAAAACGTATGAAAAGACGAAAACCGGGGGCCTAGTGGGGCCGCCACGCGAGTGTAATCAACCAAGTGTGGCTTAGCGTGGGGGTTTTGCCGTTCGGAAAGAGACCGCAAGTCAGCCGGTCCGAATGACCACCATGACTGGTCCGAGGTGGTTTCAATAGCCGATCGGCTATTGAAATGTTCAGGTGGGATGCCGTGGGATATTATTGGGCAAGTGTGAACAGATGGAAACCTCAGGTACCAATGCAGGTAGCAAACAACGCGGTGAAAATGGTCATGCGCTTTCCAAGTCACACAGACTGCCAGTTGGTTCGCCATGGGGAATCGATCGGGCAGATTCCATGCCAATGGAGAAAACATCCGAACAAGCAAGTGCTTTCTTTTTTTTGTTCTGCTTACCTTCATCGATCAACACCAGGCTCAGATAGTATCTTGTGGAGTACTTTTTGTTGACATCACGGAAGGTGGGCGTCAGATCGAAACCACCCAGGAACAGACGAATAGGAATTGTCTCTCCTGGTCATTGTCAGCAGGAAACTCTTCCCATTTGTTCAATAACGTATATTGCTTTTTGTGGGGTGCCAGCAGTATGCCATGAAGCAAACTTCAGCCGGATGCGACTCACCTCGCGAAGGCGATCCGTCCATGATCTATCAGAACAACAACGTTAGCAGGCATCCCCTGTTGTGTACCAAATCAACGAGCTGACCTACCTCGAACCGTACCAGCGTCTCGCTCTCGTTGTATTGATTTGGAGGAGACCCCGTCGTCTCACGTCGAATAATGGATAGTTCCATGTGCTTGATCTTCAGCCGCACGAGGAGAAAATAGATACGTCCCACGATGACATCTTTCAGGTGATACTTGGATTTGGAGTATTCAAACTCAATATGCAGGCAGTCTTCGATACCGACATCCATCTTGATCGGGCTGTTGGTTTCCGGGGGCATGCGATAAGAGTAGACCCAGAGATCCTTCTCGCGAATCACATCGGCCATCCGCCTCGAGACCGTCACCCGCACAAAGTACCGCAGCTTCACATTGATACCATTGTATGATTCGTATTGTTTCTCGACGTTCTTGAAGTTGAAAGGGAATGTCTGTGGGTGTTGCAGCTCTCCGGGAGCGGCAAGTTCCTGCACCAGCGAAAGAAATTCGTAATGGTTGCCTCGATCGTAGAACATCTCTGCTCAGCAAGATAATTGGTCAGTTCATGTCTCGACCACCAGTGGCAATAAGTGCTGCAGTCTTTGAACGGGCAGGGTCCCATACCGATTGTGCCAATGAATTGCACCTTGATGCCTGTGTGTTCTAATCGCTTCCCATCCTTTGGTCGAACCGTAACAGCACCTTTCACAGACTCCCCATCCATGTAAAGAGGAACTCGCTCGCGGCGGCCCTTATCGAGCTTCACGTCCACTGTCTGGCGTTCATCGCTGTCTTCGAGCACGACGTCAATGTCGACGGGAGTGGAGAAGAAGAGAGAAGTCATTTCGGAGGCCAGATGGCAGGGTTAGGAGAGTTATACTAGATTGGAACTCGTGCACACGTGAAGTCCTTGCAGTCAAATCAGATAGGATCACACAATTGCCATGCCGCTTAGCTTCGCTCAAGCTTACACCTGGTTGTTGACCGCAGAGGCGATACACGACTGCCTGACGGTTAGCCTGTCATATGGGTGATTACGTAATATCTCGGCATCATAGTAGACGTTATCCCATCAACAGTTGCATCTGTACTTGCGGATTTCGTAGATTAACAGTCGAAGAACATACGAGTCACTCTCCCCATGAGTCAGAAAATATGAAGCGACTCGACATCTACAGTGCCAGGAGCACTTGTAACGTACCACTAAATTGTTGAGCGCTACGGATACTGACCAATGGGCTGCATACTCGCTCATGTCATGTTCGTGCTAAAATGGCTAGAGAACAATGCTCTCGATAACCACCTATCTTGAATCAAGGTCCAAGATAAAAGACATTGGGTGCAGCGTCCCATGTCTCAGCGGTCAAAATACAGAAGTACGAGTACCTGGGTATCAGCATTGCTACCGCATCCCTGCCATCCGCCGCGAAAATATGTTTTGGCGACATGGAGGGTAATGATACTACGACTGCTATTCAAAGCCGATTTCAGTACGACCTGGAACTTTCGAAGATAGGGGACGCGGAAAATAATGCAGTTCCCAACAAGTTCGACACGTCTCTTTGTCCTGAGCTGCACTGGAACGAACGGATTGGGCAGAAATCTGCCAGCCTACCAGTAAGGCAACTGGAAACACATTTCCGGAGCCCTTGTTTCACGGAACATATTGCCTTCTTGAGGTGAGACCCAGTCTCGTGATAACTGCCAAGTTCCAAGTTCCAACAAGGTTTGAATAAATACGGAGTACTCAATGCTAGGAACTTGAAGGTGTTGGCCAGCGAATTGTTTGCATGCAAACTGGCGGGTTTCCCCGGATTGAGCCACGTCCCCCTGCAAGCCACAATGACCCAAGATCAATCAATTTAGGCGGTGGGCCACATGGTCAGCACTCCTGTCGAAGTCAATACACGGCTTTGACTGTTGAGTGGTGGAGTGTCGACGCTCGACAGTTTGAAAAAAGGCGGTATCGGGCTTGCAGCTTCGCTCTTTTGAACCATAACCCTTGTTGGACGATGATTGTCTGCTGAGCGCCTATCAGAGCTGAGACGCCAAAGTACCTCCAGAAGTGCGGAGTACTAGTCCGTCCATAATGTACACATTATTGTTTGCCCCCTTGTTCCCTTGTCCACGGGATCAAACATTGGCAGATTGAACTGTTGTACAGCCATGCTCTATCATCAGGGATGCGTTAGAAGTGAATGAGCAACGCTTTACAGAGTGTAGCTAGGGATAGATCCTTTGCGCTTTGATTGAATCCTCCCACTTTTGCTGTTGATGGTATTGAAGATCTCGAATTTGCGTGGGGGAATATTCCGATTACAGTGTAAATACTACTATGCGTACGCCATTCGTTCTTACCATTAATTGCAATCCAAATTGCAATCAATATCGAAGAACTTCTGGCCAGTAGACAGATAACGGATAGATATTGTAGAAGGTTCTCATGTCAGGCCGCTACCTTATTTCCGTCAGCCCATGCTAGCCACAGCATCCTGGTATCTGGTCCCTGGAGATCATCTCTGAGTAATCTATGAGAGTTTTGTCTGTATTCCGCGTCCTTTGAATTTTGAACTGTATGGTCTTCCATTGAATTCAAAGAAATGCATGAAAATAACATGGTAAAACTGCTTTCCCAGTACACAGCCTGCCTATTATGGTATAGCGTGGGGGATTTGTAGGATGAGTGTCTGTAACTCTCTTGTAATTGTATTATTGGCTGTATCAGTCCCGGATCCCCGGTGCAGGGCAACCTTCTTTTCTACCCGTGACATCATGAAACGATGGGATGACATGGGGACGTAACTTCGTACGTAGCTGATGCTCATCCAAAAGATAGAGTCTTACAATTTGTGTATGGCGATGTACAACCTACTCAGCTGCTTCGAATCTTTAGTATTATTTCAGAAAGTATTCTTCCCTTTTCTTTCCATTGTCCGATGGTGAGGGTCTTCAAAGCTAGAATAAGAATCCGATCTCCCACTAACACCCAAGCCGGCGGAACCCCCTTTCTTCTCGAATGTCCCCCACCTTGTGATATGTTTCACTGATTCCCCCCACTCGGCTGGCTGTAATCTATACTCCGTACTCTGTAAGGTACCCTAAGGTTAGGCTATGGAGAAACCCAACATTGTAGTAGAAGTTGTTCGGACTTTCCAGTTTGAAAGTTGTTGGAAAATTCCCGTTACGTCTGTATGATTCGATGTTTTTGTACCTCCAATCTTGAAAGAAAACAATAGGTCATGTTTTCCCTACAGGATCGGCTTTCGACATGAAAGTCCCCACAGGCCCAGGTTTGATACTTAATATCCGCCTGCTGGATTTCTTCCTTTTTATTTAGCCATTACTCCCTTGTCTCTTTCTCTTCTCCCCCTTATAACTTGCATGAAAGATACTGGTATTACCTTTGACCTGCAATCGCCTGTTCAACGACCTGGTTTGCTGCATTTCACCTGGTTCAAAGCACTCGAGACACAAGACCGTTGCCTTCTATATACATCCACCAACCCCAACAACACTCACAAAAGTTGGTTGAACCATCCGGACCACCCACCGAGTTCCGTGTATCACTAGAGCGTCATAGTCTTTGTTCCCTCTGCGGCGGCTCTCTTGCGACCGTTGTTTTCTCTTTTCTGTTTGTTGCTGTTATTCTTCCTTTGTTCTACACACTATGCTCTCTGCTGGGGAAAGGCCTCAACCGCCTATAAATACCAATGCGGTTGTAGATGCCTCTCGG